CGCGCGAGGCGGCGGCTGAAGGACGGGCCGGGGGCGGGGAGGGGGGTCCCGGCGGACTCCCCCACTGCCCGAGCCACCTGCGGGGATGGCGCAGGCCCGGCGGACAGCGGGAGGGGCGGCCCCGCTCCCTGGGGCGCGCCGCAGGTGGGCTCGCGGGCCGGGGCTCCGGCCCTGCAGCGCGCTCCCTGCCGGCGGCGCGATCGCAAAGCGTCTGCTGCCATCTGGTGGCGGCGCGGGGGCAGCTGCGGCGCAGCGTGGGGAGGTCCGGCCAGGGCGCGGGGCCGGGCTCGCAGATCCCTCGCCCTGCGCCTCTCTGAGCCGCGCCGCACAGCCGCGAAGCCCCACGCTTCCGCGCCGTGGCGCTGCTCCGGATTCCCTAAGCGGAGTGGAGTTCGGAGGGGGCCGTGCAGTGCAGGGGTCGGCGCCTGGGCTTTGGTGCCAGGCTCGCCACACCCCAGCTGGCTGATGAGCAGCAGAGCCCTTCGCCCTCTAAACCCCACGTTCTCATTTGTAAAGGAGGCTTCAGAAGCGCGTGCCTTGCGGAGCTTTTGCAAGGATTGCCTGGGCAGACGCCTGGAAAGCCCCAGGCCCACGGTAAGAGCATGATAAATATTAGCTGTTGCTCTTGTAAAATCCCAGACCGCCTCTCAGACTCTCACTGTGGCACGCAGCAGTGTGCAGTATGTGGTCAGGCCATGGATTTCCTGTCTCTCCATCTGCAAACTGGCGACGCCCGTGCGGGCCCCCCACTCCCTGTAAAGTTGGCTCCGCCTCTCCGGGGACAGGTGCACCTGGCTGGCCTCATTGGTCTCAGACGTGAACAATTCTGCCAGAGCAAAAAGACGTCCCAGCTGCTGCCCATACCTGGAGGCTCTGCCCGAGGACCGCTGGACTGGGGCTGCTAGACCCGGCCTCACAGACGGGGCCTCACAGACGGGGCCTCACAGACCGGGCCACATAGTTGGGGCCTCCCTTCTGAGCTAAGGGGATCTGAGTGGCTTTCCTGCAAATCCCATCCCTAGAGTCACAGACCAGAGGGTCAAATCAGAAGTCATGCTCCCTGACCCCTTCCCCAAAATGCCACATTGAAGCAGACGGCTCATCTCTTTAATAATATGGTGGACTGTTTACGGAAAATACATTTCCCTTAAGAAAGAAAAAGCTGTTTGGATCCCTCCATGCACTGGGCACTGTCCCCAAGACTGCGGACTGGTGTGTGTGATGCTGCGTCTTACACCCAATTGCTGTTTTAATTCCCAGGATGCAGCACGAGGAGGCCCCCTGAGCCAGGCGTGACAGCCAGGTATACCAGCGAGGAGGGGGTTGCCTCACGCAGCTGCTGCCACTCCACCTGTGAAAACGCCGGCTCCAATTCGAAGGTATCAAATATTTGCCTAGCTGTTCAACATTTCTTCAAATAATATACTTGCGGCTAATTCATATCTAGACTCAATGTCTTCATCTCTCCGAGGCCTCCCTCCTGGATTAGCCTGTCTTGTCTATTCTGGGAGAAAGTTATCCCACATTCTAAAAATAGGGCCTGGAGTCCGGACACTGGCGTGCAGTCAGCAGAGGGCCGTCCTCTGGGGACAGCTGCAACAGCCCAGAGACACACTCAGGAAACAGCCAGCCGTGAGTGCCAG